CAGCCCCGTACCGGCGGAGGAGGAACCGTGCAGCGCGGTTGAGGCATGCCCGTCTTCGCGTGCCTGCGTTTAAGTCCGGTGCCTTGGGCGGTCTTGATTTACTGTAATTTACAACACGAAGTCCAAAATCCAATTAAAACCCGATTAACATAAACAAATACACCGTATTAGGCTTTAGGAACCGCAGAGAGGAGCGAGATAGTCTCGACTTGCAGATGTTTAAATGGGCTGGGCTAACGGCGGCCGTCCAACAGCAGCGGAGTACACCATAAAATCCCAGATCTTATTGGTCTGAGCATGTTTTCTCATCTGTTTATTTTTGCTGAAAAAAAAGAAAGCTTCATTTGACGTACTTTTTTTTTTTTTTTTCTCCTTCGTCTTTCAGATTATGTCATAACTACAAGATAAACGAGCAGTGATGGAATCACTGGATACCGAGGTGAGAGCACGGAAGACTCTGGGAACTGTTGAATATGTAGAGTCTTCGGGCTTCACCCAGGGAGTACTGCCAACCAAGAAAGATGTGGTTCAGAACATGCTGTATTTATTGCAGCCCAAAAGAGCTGGCCAGGCCCAGCGATCCAAAGAGGATGCGGCCCAGTTGCTCGCTGAGCACCTGCAAGAGCACTGGTTAGTTTGCAACTTGCACACCATCGCAACGCAAAATATAAAGAAACTTATCCTCAAAATGTACGAGGAGTTTACCAGATTGTATCAGACCAGAAAGCAGAGACAGAACCAGGCTTTTACCGAGCGAGCGGACAAATTCAATGAGAGTTCGGAGCAGCTCTTTGATGTATTTTGTACAGACACGCAGATGAGAAATAAACTGGAGGAATACAGTGGAATAAAAATGACTAGCATCGAGTGGAAATTTCTTGAAGATCAGAGAAGCGAAAGAAAAATGTACTATGAAGATTTCACAGACAAGCAAGAATTGAAGATGATGGAAAGAAGACAAAAGATACAATGTCTGGAGCACTTCAGAAAACTCGCCAAGGAGGAGAAGGAAGGAAACAAAGCAAAGGAAGCAAAATATAAAAGTGATGAGCAATCAGACGAAGGCACGAGTGTGGATGAATCCTACCCCGCGGAGGAGGAGAACGGTGGGGCTCCGGCATTTTCACTGCGGGGCAGAAGGAAGCGCCGGTGCACCACGACTCCTGCGAGCGCCACCATGCCCCTGGAGTGCCAGCATATACGGATGAGCATCAGGAGAGTTAGGCCTGGGTTCTACGAGACTGTGGAGAAGGTCAAAAACTGCTAGCGCATGCCGCAGTCGGCAGGCAGAGCTGCTGGAGTACGAGGTGGCAGTGCACACGTTAGGCAAGTTTGAAATCCCACCATCAATTGGAAGTGATTGTTGTAGATCCCCAAGCCAGAGCTCAGGAACATCCTGCCTCCGGGGAAGAGTGCTGGGACGATGACAACAGTGGCAAGGACTAAAAAGCGTGAATTTGGAAGGATGGATAGTCAGCAGCTCATGATGCGAAGGCTCAAACGTAGCAGATGTTCTAAGGTTACGTAGCATATAAGCCTCTTCTTCCAGGGTCCTGCCTACATCAGTGGGTTTTTGGAAGTCTCTCACCGTTTCTGAGCCAGTGGTGGCCTAACAGTACAAAACAGGACTCGGATTTGCTGCAGGGAAATAACTTGGACTTGTTGCTAATAGAAAATTTGTCTGCTGAAAAGCCCTAACTCCTGCTGGTTTCGGTGGGAGTGAAAGGTGCTCGGCCCCTTTCAGCAGAATTTGGCACTTCTGCGAGGAAGGAAGCTGGTTTTTAGCTTGTATTAACTGATCCCGGAGAGGCAGCCTGTGGTTTTGTGAAGGGATTGCTCTCTTGCTTGAGGAGGGGGAGAGAGAGATCAGGAGACATTTGAGTGCTTTGGCTGTAAAAGCATTGTTGATTCTGAATGTTTTATTCTAGATTCTATTTTAATGATGTTTCCTTGATCAGGATAAACCTTCCCATAATTGGATGAGTTTTAATATGAAGTCCCTAATCTAGGATCTGAGGCGTGAATCCTAAATTAAGTGCTAATGTTTTATCTTCAGGGGGAGGGGGGGGTAAGGTAGGGGGAAGGGTGCAAATTACATTATTTAGTTTTAATATGGGAAGAATTTTATAAACTGTTATCCTGCCTTCTTAGGGTATAGGGAAGAAAAAGCCTTTCCAGGTGTGGGTAGCTGTGGTATTTACAGCAAAAGGCACCTGAATCTGGGCTTGCTTTTCCACCCCCCAAGGTCCGTACAGACCAGCAGGGTGGAAATGATAGTTTTCCACCTGGAGTTTGTTTGAACGAAGTGTAACCCTCTTGCCCGTACATCCTGAGCAGTGACGTGTCTGTGATTTTTTAGATACCCACAGTACGAGGGTATCTGCCGTTTTTAGTTAGAGTTACTTTACTGGTTTTTAAAGATGAGAGACTTGAACTATCAGTGAAACCCAGTGCTGGAGAGATCTCTGAGATTCCCAAACTTTGCCAGACCACACTGAAAATTAAAAATCCCAAGTCTCTGTTTGTCCACAGAAGTCCTCTGGTAGAAAGAGCGCAAACTTGCCTGGTTTTCAAATTTACCTTTCAGTGTGAACGTTGGTTTCCCCACTCCAGTATCTCAGCTTTTTACCCCATTTCTTTTCTCTCCGCCCTGCGCATCGTTTTACTGACATTAACTCGTGCTGTTTCATTCTTTGGCTTTTGCTCCCTTTAACAATAAATGCATGTACGAATAATTTTGACAGTTCCTTTACTTTTGATGAATCAGTTCTTGGACTGCTTTGAAGTCCTATGCCAAAGGAGGAATGAAACACAAATGAGCTGCCGGTCCGGTTGGGACGCAGCAGAGCTAGCGAGTGCAGGAGGCGGCAGCGGCCCCGGCCTTGCTGCTCAGGCAGTCTCCGGCGCACCTCCGCTCCGTCCTCCGCCTACCGATGGATCCGTCCGGCTCCGAGCGATGCATCAGCTTCCCAGTGACCTTGCTCGTTAGTAATTGCCGGGATCCTTACTCTGTGTCTCTGAGAAGTTCTCCATGGTAAGTTGCTCCAAAATACTTAGTGAACTCAGTGTATTCCGCATCACTCATAGCGTCGTTACAGGTTTAATAGCACGCACCCGTGTTCCGCAGCACCCTTCAGCCTCCGCTGCTTGAGAGTTCGCAGCCCTCTCTCTCCTCCTCTCTCTGATGTGCTTCACTGACTTCCCTGTGCAAATTATGTCACGTTTAAACTATTTGCCTTCCAGCCCTGAGGTGCTGGACTTGAGCCTCTCACTGGGCTTATACACCAGCAGCTCTGTTTCAGCAGGGAATATAGCCAAGCTCGGACCTCGCCGAAGTAGATATATTTTTTTTTTTTTAATAACTGCTGTAAACCCCCCTCTTTGTATTACAAATATAGCTGACAGTATAAAAGCTCGTGTGTAAAGCAAATCCACCAGGGTTGACTCGAATATGGAACACAGCTGTGTAGTGCTTTATGATTTCAGGGATTCAGGGAATTTAAGGTTGTCAGATCTGACTTCCTGTATACCACAGGGAATTACATTTCATTCAGAAGCCCCACACTCAGCCTACTGGTTTCAGTTTAACTGACGTGTCTTACAGAAAGTCGAGCTGAAGACGTCAGAAGTCTGCTGTCTTCCTCAGTTACACACTTGGTGGTTTTTCACCTTCGCTGTTTTAAAAAAGCAAAAAGCAAAAAAAAAAAAAAAAAAAAGAGTCTGACCACCTTCTAGGCTGTGATTCTTTTCATGACATCTTGTACAGGCTGAGCAGTGTTTATCGCATTTAAATCATACTTTTTTTTTTTTTAACTGGGTTTGACTGTGGATAGAGCCAAAGCCTGGCTCTGTTTCTGCTGCAACAGGGGGAAAATTTCTAAATGATGTATTCTGATTACTATTCTTTGGGACCATGGTGCCTTTTTAATCAGGACAGTAAATCTTGTCCCAGAATTCTGTACTTTTGTACGTTAACAGTTGTTGACTTTCCTTTTTTGGTGTGTCCCAAATAAATTAATATAACATACTTCTGGGCTTTTGTTTCTTCTTTTTAAAGGGGGAGGAAAGAGGAAACTGAAGCTAAAATAAATCTTCTCTACTCCAGCTCTTCCCTCCCGGGCTCTTGCGGGAGCAGCCGTGAAGTGTGCAGGTGTACCCGCTCTCATCCGGACTGCGTGGGGCAGCGGTAGGGAAGCTGCTCGAAATGGGAGTCTGGGATCGGGGCACCACCTGGAGCCCTTTTTTTTGTTTTTGGTTTGGTTTTTTTTTGTTTTCCCAAAAATGCTGGAGGCTGGAGCAGCCGAAGGTAAGGGGAGAGGGATGGAACTTCTGCACGTGGTGGGAGCGTTTCACTCGGGCTTTCGGTGTGCTTCAGGCTTGGGGAGGTGGGCGTTGGGGACAAGGTGGGGGGGCACCCTGCCTTGCTGGGGTGATCTGGCTGGTGGGTTCCCCGCTTCTGCCTGTTCTCTCCTGACTGTGATTCAAGAGATTGTCGTATGAGATGAGGACATGGCAGTTGGTGTCCCAAAGACACACAGGGCGATGGTTTGCACCATGGGACCTCAGTGTGGAAGGGAAACGGGAAAGGAAGGAATGCTGGAAAGAGCGTGTTTGTTTCAGCAGCTTTTTGTGGGAGGAGGGAATCGAGGCGCATCCCAGGGGTGACAAACGCTTTTGATGGATGCTGACTTGCCGATTTAACTGGACATGTGTGGAGAAACATCTTTAGCCTTTGCAGTCAGGTTTGAGCTCACTTCCCTTGAACCTTTCGCTCTGATTTCTGCAAGGGGAGCAATGGAAAAGAGAGGGCACCCCGACACCCAAGCGTGGCCAAGCCCCTGTGCGCCCCAGCCCTGGGCCCTCGCAGCTGGGGCTCATTCCAGACCCAGGGAGGGTTTTACACCCCTCTGCAGGTGAAAGCTGACTTTTCATTGCCCTTAGAAACACCTTACAGCTGCTGTGGTCTGCTCTAAGCCAGGTAGTAGAGAAGCACCTGTCTGATCTCCCAGGATGTATGTGCCTCTTCACATGGCACCTGGCAGCGGCTGCTCTGCCGCCTGTGTAGCGTCTCAGAAAGGGGAAGGAACACAAAAGAACCAACCCGAAATGCAAATTCTTGCACTACTGAGTGGGCTGGATGTGGAAAACAATGCGTCTGTGATTCAGAGCACAGAAGCAGTCATGAAGTTGGAATTTAGAACAAGTCTCAGCCCAGCACTGTGGGCACATGGCGCTGCGTTGGGCAGCACCCGCCTGCGATGGAGCTCCATCACCCCTGTGGGTGGGCACGGGGAGGAGGCAGCGCTGGAGCCTTGTCCTAGAGGTGCTGGACAGCTTAATGCAGGGTGACAGTGACAAATTGTGGCACTGCAGGTGGGACGTGGCCGGGGGGGAAATGGTTATCTTAGGAAGGGTGGAGCAAAACTGTGAGACTGTGTCATGAGTGTGCTTGTGCTCAGCACCTGTGGCTGGGCTGTGGGGGAGCTCCAGGAGGGGAGATGAACCTCCTGTTTGGCCTGACAGCTGTGTTTTGTCCCCTGGGGAAGGGGATGGCACATTGGGCCAGCGGTGGTGAAGCTGTCCCTGCCATAACAGAGCTGGGCACTGAAATCCTGGTGTGGGGCACGGGAACCTGGCACGGCACCTGCCTGACCCCCATCCCACAGCTCCCAGTGCCCTCACGGGAAAAGTCACCCCAAATGCTGAGAGGGGCTTCAGGGTGAGCATTTCTATGTGTAAACACACTGATTTATGAACCAGACATGTATGAGGGTATTTCCTGCTCTGACAGAGGGTGTTGTCTTGTTTTTCTTCCCAAGTTTCTGGACAGCAGCCGCTTCTTCCTGGCACGGCTTTGGAGCCAGCAGATACCATTCCAGTCTTTTAGGACTTACGAATGAGCATTTCTACCCGTGTCAGCTTGCTACGTGCAACAGAACATCCCCTCTTCCACCCCTTTCCAGTCCCACTCAGGCTGGGTTGTGCCCCACGGTGTGGGGACAGCTGTGCATGGCCACGGCCCCTCCGGCTGAGCCTCCTGGGCAGGGACATGTCTCTGGAGGGAGAGAGGCTGGAATCTAGTCCTTCAGAAATGCCAAAAGTTTGGGAATTGGAATAGGAGCTTCTGGAGCTTTCTGTTTCCTGGCCACCTGATACAGAGCAGCCGGACCCCCAGACTTCTCTATGCCAGATGCTCCCCGTGAGCCAGTTTCGCCCGGCTCCAAGTTTTTTACAGCAGCGTATGTTCAGTGAAATCACTTTCTTGCCCAGTTTCCCAGAGTGGGCAATGACAGAGCCGCGGGCAGCGCCTGCCCAGGGGATCCCCAGGCTCGCTCGTGGCACTGCCGTCCCGCTGGCAAGCTGGAGGGCAGCGGGGCGATGCTTCAAATGTGCCGTTTGCTTGTTCAGCATCCCTAATTGTACCCCAACGTGCGTTTGAGTTTCTTTGGCACCAGTGCTTTCCTGCCGGCCCGTGGAAGGTGGGTTGCAGGTAGCTGGAGCAAACGTTCTCATTTTCCCCTGCTGTCACGGCATTACTTCCCATGTGCTCCCGTGGCCGAGTTTCTGGATGAGAGAACCAGGTGCTGCGGAAAGTCCAGAAATTTTGGCTGACGAGAGAGGGGGTGGCCCCTGTGCCAGCACCCCGGCTGACCCCCTCTCCCCGGCCACCCCGCGGTGGTCTCTGTGGGGTTGGGTGTCCTTCAGCCAACATCACGCCAGCTGTTGATGCCCGGAGCAGGGGAGCAGCCGGACCCCAAACCCCAGGTCTGGGGGTGCGGTGGTGCCACGGGGACGAGCCCAGCCATGCCGCAGGGCCC